TTGGCCCTATTTCTAGGCTGACCGTGGTTATGTCAGCAGTGCTGAATTGTGGTAGGATAAAAGAGTTTATATTAGTTTTGACTAAAATGCAGGTGCGGGGTTTTCTCTTACCCTGAACACTGAATAGCTTGTACTTCGGAGTCCACAAGCCACAGATCCTATTACCAGTGATCCATGGCTCTTGGACCAAAGCGATGCCTACTTCACCTGAAGACAGTTGAAGCAGGAGCGCAGCAGATGCTGCTTTACTGTAATTTTTCATCACGCGAGTCTCTCCTCTCTACCACCACCACGTTGGCTTCGTCGTCGCTGAGAAGCTCACGCTCTGTATACAGCCTCCGTAAGGCTTCACCTACTTCGGATCTTGATGAGGCGTAACCGCTCAGCTCTTCGGTTGCTTGGTCGTCGACTTCCATCTCGTGGTCGCTGGATGGCTCGTCCGTCTCCACACAGGCTGCAAGGTTTACTAGGTTTACTTCGGTGTCAGTTTTGTAAACTTTTAGCGTTGTTTTTCCAAAGCCATAGCTCACCCCATAGTCGCTTTGTGCGAGTGCTTCCAGACATCGTCGTTTAGGAGCAGGACTACCTGCATCGTTGCTCGCTCAGTTGGCTCCGTGTTAACAACCCTCCAGTTGTGTGTAGGGAAGCTGGGATTAAATTCCTGCAGCATTTCTAAAATATCTGCAGGTTGGGACGGCGTAACAGGTACCCATACGCTGTTCGCTGAGTGACAAGCTACACTACAGGAAAACCCAGGATTTCCGGTGTTTGCCGTGCAGGCTTTCCATCCAGTGCTACTTCTGTGCGTAGCATTGGCCTTTGGACTTCTCGGCCCGGGAAGTGCTTTACTCCTACTGCTGGTGGGTGCAGATACACCTGATGTCTGCTTCGGCATAGAGCTACTTTTGGCTAGGCCCGTGGCTTTGCTGGGTGCGGAGTTTGTGACTCCTTTCGGTCTTTGTTTCGGAGCGCCGAACTCCCGTACTGGAGTTGAGGTTTGTATATTTGATGTTCGTGTTGTTGTTGTAGTAGTTTTAGTTTTATCCATATTTTGTCCCACGAGAAGCGGAGACCCGAAGCACTCCGTTCGCGACTGGACTTGATGAAGGGCCCCCCAGCCAGGCTGATCCTCGGCACGGGTCGTATGATACCTTGATCTGGCCCTGAAAAGAGTAGGGAGGGAAGAACTGGCAAGGAATTTGGTCAAAAAGGGAAGCATAGGTTTAGGGATTTAGGAGGGATCGCCGCTCGAATTAGCCGCCAGGGCCTTACCAGGTGTCACCACGGGGAGGCCCCGTTTACTAGGGGAGTGCTAATCACAATGCAATTAAAACCTACGAGTCGAAGCTTTGTGATGTCGCGTGTGTGCAAGTTTACTAAAATCCCAAAAATGTATATTCATTAAAAGAACATACTCAAAAATTTAAGACCAAAATGGTATTTTGGCAATTGTTGCATAAATCACATAACCCCGACAAATTAAAGATTGAGATTCAGTTTCAAATGTACAAGTTTAAATATTATTGCCCTTGGTAATTTTCCAAATCAAACCCCGTCCCGCCCTACACTTTGACTTACATTTTTTAGTTGTTATTGTTTTGCCTTTATTAGGCAATTCTAAAAACATTTTTGACGTTGTTTTGAAATTTGGCGACATAAAATAATGTAATAAATATTTTCTAGAATATGGAAATAATACACTGTACGTCCTGGGTAATCTTTGTTCGTTCGTTCATGAAATAATGCTGCCAATTTTTGTCCCCTTTGATCCAATACGTGCAAATATTAAAAGCGCGTGGAAAAAGAATACGCTATCAATGAAACGATAGTGGCGATCGATAGCTATGTTAAGTGACCAGACTATCGATACTATCGATAGTATCGTCGATAGTTTGACAGCTCTACTTTATAGAATAGAACAACAGTAGAAGGAAAACCCACGAGTGCGAAAGAACATGTTTCACATAGCAGCGAAATGAGACCGTAACAAGAATAATCAATTGCTTGATCTCCCTGCAAAATCACAAGGTATCATGACAACAAAGTGCAAAATAAACATTGGAGAAAATGCAAGAGCCAGGGATGTAGCGAAATATGTGCAAACCATTTTACCCAAAATTTTTTAAAAGTTGAAAAGGAAAATTAAAAACGGCTATGAGTGCTTTCCCAAAATTTTCTTGCTCCACATTCATTTCAGTTTTGAACAACGGATTAGGGAAATATTTTTCATTAGGGAGTCATAAAAGGACAAATAAATATAACTCTGAGCTGTTTACCGTCTTTAATGGTTAAAAAATAATAACTCAAATTGGCAGAATAATGTCCCAATATAATATTTAAACAAGTAAGGAAGTTTAAGTTCGGGCGGAGCCGATCATTAAATACACGGTGCAAGTATTATATGTGTTTCACCTTTCCGAAAACTACCGCTACATGGTAAGCAGGGGTGGTTTTATCCCTATTTTAAACATCTTCGATAGAACGTTCAGATATAAATAATTAGGGTATTCACAGTTTACTTCTAAAGTTAAAAGGTGGTAACTTTAACAAGATAACACACTCGAACTGTGAGCAACCCTTACGTTTAAATAAAGTATTAAGTTGATCAACAATACCACGCATTGCTAGACCGTTTGCCTTTCACGCGTTTGTGTTTAGAGAGCATCAACAAACCACATACATATTTCTCTCTATTCTCTCTTCTCTTTTTTATACTCAGCTAGCACAGCGCAAAAATAAAAATAAAAATAACCTTTGCCAGCTCCAGGCAGGCGCAAAGAGAAACTTATGTACAAGCAGCACTGCGCCCAAAGCGAAATTCATGTATGTATGTACAAGCAGCGATAGATGCCAGTTTAACACAGAACACAAACATGAGACAAAGTCTAGTAATTTTGCCCAAAAGTGTTATCTCTAATTAGTATGGGAACCAACAACAAACAAAGTTACCACATGGTAAAATGTTTTAAAGTTACCAGGTGGCAAAATTAACACAGTAGATAATATAGAACTGTGAGAGAGAGAACTAAATGAGATAAACTTATATAGTCATATTTGGGCGGTATCACGTATTTTTTGCTAAAGAATTATTGCAAACATAAATTTTGAATAAATGAATAAATTAGCCCCTGTATTTACTAATTTATCGAAGATTTCGTACATTACCGTTATATGGGATGTGGGCGTGGTTATTGTCCGAGAAATTGGTGGAGCGGTTACCAAGATATACACATGTAATCATAAGTGTGCGTGGCTACGCCCGTTTTCCAAAAATTTATAATATTCTTATTTTTCGTCTGAAAATTATTGTAAATATCAACTTTGAGTGAATAATCTTCACTAGTTGCTAAAATGTCGCAGTTTTCGTATTTCTGAAAACTGCCGTTATATGGGAGGTAGGCGTGGTTATTGTCGGAGTTTGCCCATTTTCAATACCATCCGTCTTACGCCCGAAATAAAGTAAACGTACCAAGTTTCGTTAAATATCTAAATTTTTACTCGAGTTATCGTGTGCACAGACGGACGAACGGACGGACGGACAGACAGTCACCGCTTAATCGATTTCTCTTTTCATTCTTATCATTTATGTGTACATTTGTCTATATCTATCTTGATTCGTTTGCCTGTTACAAACAACCGTTATGTGAACAAAGTTATAATACACTTGTGCACAAGTGCGCTCGGGTAAAAAAAAACCCTACGCACTATACCTGAAAACTTAAACAGACCAATCGTTATGGACATGAGTCTTTCCTATAAATTTTTTTTTGGAAGTTTCGTCAATATCTATGTGAGTGGAAAAACAATATTTGTTGCCTCCGCTGCATACGTTATATAAACAAGTAATTTTTAAGCAAAAAACCAAACCGAATTCAATTCTCATATAACAGTATAGATATATATATATATATATATATATATATATTTCTTGATCCAATGATCGGATCTAAACCAGATTGGTATGGGACCACCTGATACTACCTTTCCGATGCGAAAAGAATTATCGAAATCGGTTGACGTGGTCCAAAGTTGTGCGGTAACATACATAAAATAAAACAAAACAAAAATATTCCGATGAACTGATGATTTGGAAGTCGGTTAAAAATAGCATATTAAGGCATGTTAGCATATCTATTTTAAATTATAGTTAAATCACTAGTTAAACTTAACTAAAAAAATTACACAGAATTTTCTGTTGTTGAGTTTAACTAATGATTAAACTATACTTAAAATAGACACGTTAACGGTCGTTAATGATATTTTTTATTTATTTTGCAATATACCAACAAGTAATCTGCATACTCAAAATTTTGAATACGCCTTTATATTTATACATACATAAGTATGTCATTTAAGAGAAGACATTTCGGTGATTGCAACGATGTATACATTGTGGGTTTGGGTACCGCCACGTTAAAACCCTGCCCAATGAAAAAAAAACATGCCTCGAATAATACCCCTTTTTTGATAACGATCACGGCAAACGTAGAAGGGACTAGGGCCGCGACATCGACCACATAACATCGATGTTTCAAGTACCGATGTTTGGTTGGGGTCTATATCGACGTTGGTAAAACATCGGGTAAAAAACATCGATGTTAAAAAAAATCGATGTTTTAATCACTTTTTTTAATGAAAATTTGTAATAAATGAGTAAAGTTGTCTGCATTATACCTATCACATAATATAACCTCATACATAAAAAGTCAGCTTGGGCACAGGTTCAGGTATTGTACTGATGATGTGAGCTTAAACTCGACTATTTATGCAAACAACTTTTTACGCATAATGCCCAGTATATTCTTTTAAAGCGTGCATTTTTATTTCGCAGAATAACAAAAACTCAACAAAACATAAGTCAATTAATTCAATGAATTACAAAAAAATTAGACACTTTTGCGAAAAGTAAATGGCTGATGCAAAAATCAAATAGTGGTGAATATACCATAATTGTCGTATAATAACAATACTGAATAACATTAATATCACTCTAAGGCCCAAAACTTACTATTAACAGTTTGTAAAAAAAAGCAGTTTGTCCACTTTTTCTCCCGACAACAAGCAACTTCTTTTACAGGTAACAATATTTCCCGCGATGGAAAAAACACGTTCTGGCGGCACGGAAGTTGCCATCACTATTAAGCATTTCATTGCTATTTTCAACAAAGAGTTTTTGTGGTATCCTTCTGCCCACACATGCAGGGGACAATCCGTTAGCTTAACGACTGGGCTCTTCAAATAAATTGGTAATTCCGGTGGCATCGTATTTAATGTGCCTAGTTCATCTAGAGTCCTTATCCGTTTTTTGATTTCCGAGCCTGTGGTGGTCGTCGCATAGACTAAAGCCATCACCTGAAAACAAAATATACGTCAACATTTAGTTAAAATATGCATTTTACTCGTTATTTCAAAAATGGCATACAAATTACTGGCAAAGTTTTATGTCCGCATTAGGCACTTATTCATCATGGTTCATTAGATAGAAATAAATACCTACCACTTTCATCATCTTCGTTGACTTGTTCAGCATTTGCTTCCTCCTTCATTTCAGAAGTCAACTTCCGGATTGCCATCCCCACTGCCACACTGTCATCGAAATGGATGTTTTTAAACCTCGGATCAAGTATCGTAGTTATCGCAAACTAACAATGATGCTCGATGTTTTTGAACCGCTTGTTCCATTCTATCATGATGTTGCCCTTCAATGTAGTTCCCAAATTCGTATTGGTTGTAGCTCCCATGACCTTTGTTCGCAACAAGCGAACCACTGGTATAACGATGCTAGATGTAACAAACTTGTCACCACAAACTTCTTTTGTTGCAAATTCAATTGGTTTGAACATAACTACAAAATCCTTCAAAACTTCCATGTCGAGAGCTGACACCATTTGTGGTGCACTGATGTTGAACGTGATTATATTATTAACAATTTCTTGGGGAAATAAGAACCTTTCTACCATGTAATATGTGCTATTCCAACGCGTTGAATCTGACTGAATTAAAGTATTTTTTTCTAATAGCTGAGTTTTTTTACTTAGTTCGTCACTTCCCACAACGCTAGGTCTAAACCAAGTCACAATGGACTTTACCTGATCCAAAACAATTTTTAGCTCAGGAAGAGAGTCAATGGACTTTTGAGCTAGCAGATTCAATAAATGCGCGAAGCAATAGCAGTGCTTTCTTTTTTCGAACGCTAATTCTACTGCTTTGATCATATTGCTTCCTCCATCGGTTACAACTGCTACGACCTTATACTTATGTTCCACTCAGTACAAACGTTTGATAACACCTCAGAAAGATTTTCCCCAGTGTGACTTACTGTCAGTTCTTTCACGCCAAGTACAATGCTTTCCAATTTAAACGTTTTTTTTTTTTATTTCCACAAGATGAAATAAAATGCGCAGTAACTCCAAGAAATGCTTTCGTTTGGTGTGTTTCGGTTCACACATCAATGGTTAAACATATGAAGGGTACCGTCGACAATTCCTGCTTAACCAAATTCGAAATGAAATCGTACTTTTTCTCCAGGAGAGTATCGAACGTTTTCCTTGAAGGTATTTAATACAATGGCGATACTATTTTTAATAAATGACAAAACCCTTCGTCTTCCACGATAGTAATGGGCTGATTGTCCCGGCATAGCATGAACAAGATAGCCGCTGTTATTTTGTTACTTTTATAACAGCCGTCCTTGAAAGAGCTTATATTTGCGAAAGACGTTTGTAAAATCTGCTGACCCCCTGATGATAGCGCAGATACTTGGTGTGATGAGCTGGAACTTGGGCAAGGTTCTGAAGATGCGGGAACGAGACTTGCATTTTTATTCACTTCAGTGCCGTCGGTCTTATTAAGCACTTTTTCGGAAGATGTTAGATGGGTTACGAAAATATCATTGTGCATAGCTTTAATGTGACCTATGAGCAGGCATGGGCAGAGAGTTAGCAGGTGCTAAAAGAGCGTAAGCGTCGAGTGTACGTATACAATCGAGAGCCCAACGATGAGAACACGACAGCATGCAAAATGAATTAGGCACACTAACACATTCTCACTTTTAGCTCACGCTTGTTTCTGGTAGTGTCCACCTCTGCCTATGAGATTGCTTGCATTACCACATGTTTTTAGGTGTTTGTTACAAACAACACACACAGCCAATTCATTAGGTTTTTTATTGTCTTTCGCGAAAAAACTTCCATACCCTACTTTTAGGCGCCATTCCGCTATTATGAATCAAAACTGGAAACAAAGAAGTATTTATTGCTTGCTCATTGTATCGAATTCCAAAAGCAGCCCAACCTGAAACTAGAGAATACAGCGACAATAAAAACTTCTGCAATATGCCTTGAGATCACGATGTAGAGAACAAAGGTGGCGGCCATCTAGGGATGCCAGCGATTAATCATTTGATTAAATTAATCGATTGTTTTTGTCCAAAACTAAGTATGGCAACTTTAAAGGCCCTACATACGCATTGATTTATCGGCGAACCAGTTGGTCAATTGCTAGAAGTTGGTTGCAAATAAGCCGAACATCGAAGAAAAACATCGAAGCAAAAAATCGATGTCGATAAAACATCGGGTAGGAAAAATCGATGTTCAAAACACTCGATGTTGTCTCAAAACATCGATGTTTTACAAACATCAATGTCGATGTCGCAGCCCTAGAAAGGACTATTATTTGAGGGTACTCACCTGGAATATCCGGAGCTTTAGTCGGGAAGGTGCCTCTGCCCGGCTGGTTGATGTCCTCAGGAAAATAAAGGCTTACATCACCGCCATCCATGAAATGCGATGGACGGGGAAAGGCAAGGTAAACGTGGAGCCTTTCGACGCCTACTCCATATGCCACGTAAATGATGGCATATTCGATCTTGGATTTGTGGTGGGAGACAGACTCCGTCGCCGAGTACTGGTGTCCACTCTAGTGGACGACAGTCTAGCCACAATCCGCATCAAAGTGCGATTCTTCAACATCTCGCTCAGATGTTCCGATGCCCCGATGGAAGAGAAGGACGAGGCATACAAGAATATCTTTTATGAGCGCTTGGAGATAACATACGAGCGCTGCCTTCGTCACGATATAAAGCTCGTGCCTGGCGACTTCAAGGCCAGGGTAGGCAAGGAAGGGATCATTGGTGCCACTATCGGAAAATTCATCCTCCATGACGAAACGTCCGATAACGGGCTGCGTCTGATCGAGTTCGAGGGAATACTTTTCGACCCTTTGAATGGCAGCAGCACTGAAAGTAGTGAAGAAGACGAACCCGAGCCCCCAGTCGATGACGATGGAGTCCATGTCCCAGCGCCTGACTATAACGAGGTACGAATAGCGATTACGCTGATGAAAAATAACAAAGTTACTGGAGCTCGTGGCCTACCAGCCAAGCTATTCATGTACGATGGTGAAGAGCTGATAAGGTCATGTCCAACTACTGGAATTCCAGCGTTCTCTGCCCAATCCACAAGAAAGGCGACTTCGTCATGCGCGCCAACTATTTTATCGCGCGTTTTGTGTGAAATATTGAAGCCCGCCATCAACGAACTGAAACTTGGAACAGACCCGTGGGACTAGGATCGACACATATCTTCTATTTGTCGATTTCAAAGCCGCTTTCGTCAGCAGGAAAATCAGTTGTCTTCATTTCGTGGTGTCTGAATTTCGTATCCCCGCGAAACTAATACGGGTGTGTAAGATGACGCTGAGCAATGCAAGCTTTGTCAGAATTGAGAAGGGTATCTCCTAGCTGTGTGATACCAAACAATATGACTCCCTTTCGTGTGATATCTTTAATCTGATGTTAGAGAAGATAATAAGAGTCACATAACTGAACCGCTCAGGTAAAATACTTAAAATAGCGTACAATTGCTGGCGTATGCCGACGATATCGACATTATTGGTGGAAATAAGGACTACGTCTGTTCTGCCTTTTCGGAATTAGACAGAGAAGCAAAGCGTGTGGGTCTGATGTGAACGAAGACAAAACGTCAAGCATAAGCGTCAATTGCAATGAAATTATCTGATGAAGCGACTCTTGGAATTTTCGAGAGAAATATTCTGCGTAAGGTTTATGCGCCGTTACGCATTGGCGACGGAAAGTACCGTAGACGATGGAACGTGAGCTCTGTGAGCTTTACAACGGCATGGAAATAGTGGTCATGTCGTACGAATGGACAGAAACGCTCCAGCTCTGAAAGTATTCAATGCGGGTCGCGATAGTGGAATATGAAGGCTCCCACCGCGATGGAAGCACCAAGTGGAGAAGTACTTGGCTTCACCTCATTTACTGCGGCAGTTGTAACTGAAGTGAAACGACTGACGTTCTGCTTTGGACTCGGCCAAAATCGCTTAGACGGTTATAGCGCCAAATAAGAAGAAGAAGAACTTTGTGCGTCTTAGATACATTTGCTCAAGCGAGGATTAGACCAGATCCATCAGCGATGTATGTCTTGTCTGGAAAAAGATTCAGTTGGTGATTTTTATGTAACTTGCTGACTTTAGCTTTTACAAATTGGACGGACATGGGAACATTGTACTTTCTCTCAAAACAAAACCATTTTTGTATATTTTTGGGTCGTCGCACTGTTTTAAAGTTTGCGGTTTCCCACATCCGGCTTCTATATGTTTTATCTTTACTCTTGCTCTCATTTTGACTAATTCTGATAACAGTTGAATTGTTTGTTTTAAACTCATCACACATTACTTTAACTGAAATACCACTTCTTAGTTTTTCCAGAATACTGGTAAGTGTGGCATGCATAAACAAAGAAAGTTGTAGGTATTGAGGTTGAATTGTTTTGAAGTTGCACTTATAAAGGTTACAATGTTTTGTTTTAAAGATTTACTTTAATCAAGGAATTGCACGTATTAAAAGTTGAGCTTACCGTGTACGCACTGTAAATATTTTTGATCGGATAAACAGAAATTAAGTTTAGAACAATTATAAGGCTCAACCTATGAAAGTCCATATTTTGAGGGGGTGTATTTTTTATTATTAATTAGATCTATAACTTTAGTAGTCACACAGTGTTATTATCCCCACGAAATGCTTGACGGTGGTACCAGGAGGGGAACGGTACATAACGGTAGGAGATTTAGTTTGAGTTAAAGTCTCACTTTAACGGGGTCAGGCTTTCGATACTTCCTCCTCGGGAAAAAACATGTGCAGTAATAAGTTAATTATTTAAATGGACGAATAGTTTTATGTCAACTTTTGTGAAGTTGTGGAAAAATTAATGTTTTTGAAAAAAAAATTATAGGAGGAAAGTTAATTCCACTCCCCACGCGCTATCATATTTCTGGATCTTTTCTCAATCATGTCAATGAAGTCCAGGGTTTAGGTGTCTATTTCGATACGAAGCTAAGATTTTCCACTCATATCGACTACATAGTTGGCAAATCTTACACTTTGAAGATGCTTTATATTACTCTAGTAAGATCTAGGTTGGAGTATGCGTCATTAACTTGGAGACCTTATCACAATTCTCATATTACGTGTTTAGAACGGATACAGAAAAAATTTATAAAATTTTCTTTACGTTCACAAAATTTTATTGAACCCATAGAAGACATCCTCTTATGAATAACGTTGTCCGCTAGTTAATTTACAAACTCTACCTAGGAGATCTGCTTATCTTGCGTACTCTTTCGTTGCCAATCTATTGAATGGATCAGTTGATTGCCCTAACCTCTTTGAAAGAGTAACCTTTAATGTTTCTATACGTAACTTACGCAGCGTTTCTTCTTTCTACAT